TAGGGGTGCCAGGCCTAGTAGTGGACGCTGAGAGGCAGCTTGGTAAGGTGGTCTGTGCCCTGGCAAAGGGCCTAAATACAACTTCACAGGCCCTAGCTGCCCTCAATATTGAAATGAAAGAACTAAGAGGAGCTACTCTGCAAAATAGAGCAGCCATAGATTACCTGTTGCTGAGGCATAACCACGGATGTGAAGAGTTCGAGGAAATGTGTTGTTTTAATTTGACAGATAACTCCGAGTTGATAGAGTCAAGTTAAAAAAGTGCAGAAGTTAAAAAAAGGTTCTGTCCCGCATTAAGCAAGGGGAAGGGTTCGACTTCTCATGGCTTACTTCTTGGCTTCCTAATTTTTCATGGCTTAAGCAAATTTTCCTATTAATTGTGGCAAGTATATGTATTTTCTTGATAATCTGTTGTGGGATACAGTGTGCGCCAATGTGTTGTGAGGTATTCAAGAAATCAATTTCTTCCCCCGTTCACCGCATGATGTTTATAAAATCATCAGTTACAAACCCGATCCAAAATAATCGGGAGGAAGCAAAGAGATTTCTGGAAATAAAAAAGATAGTCGAGGACTATGGGCTTTTTCCATAAGGGCCATAGCCTCGAAGAGGGGATTTGATGAAGCACCCCTGGACTGTCACTGCATTTTAACCAGGGAACAGCTTTATATGTTTTAAAAAAGTATTTTATCTAACCAAGGACATAGAGTAGGTTGTTTAGGCTGGGGGAGATTGCTTGTTGCATAGTTGCTGATTGCTGGCCTCGCTAAAAGAAAAAGCTGTATCAACAAAGTTCTGGAGCTGGAAGGGGGGTTACTTGGGGGGGGAGCTGGAGGGGGGGTTACTTCCTGGGCTTGCTACACATTTCATCACATCAGCAAGTTTAACCTGTTACATAGCTATATAAGGCAGACACCCACTGGGGTGGGGGTGCTTGCTTTGCAAACGATTGCCAAGCACCACTTTCTGTGCAGAAATAAAGTTTAAGTTGGATCCTTCACCCCTGTGTGTTTATTGGCACAAGCGCACCGGGCACGAACTCACTGTCCTTTGGGGACAACAAGGCTATCCCCTTGAAGAGGTAAAATCTCTCTCTCAGAGCTAAAGCAAAAGGTAATTTTCTTAGGATGCCATAGATTACCATGGGAATCAAGACCAAAAGGCCAGGGGCCCACCTACTTTAGAAAGCTACATCTGGCCTGGCTTCAGAGCATACTTGAGAAGACTATACTAGGCAGGGGGTCCAAGGAAGTGATCTGGAGGAGTTATTCATATTCAGAGATGAAACTGGCATTTTAGTAATGTTCTTTAATTGAACTTTTGCTGTGACTCTCCTAAATATATATGTAAAGAACTTAACCAGTATTTTCTAGTCTAGATGAATCTCGGCATCATCTGCTAAATAAATAAGTCTTCCAAGGAACTTCACAGTAAGTAGGGGAACAAATCATGTGAGCATACCATCGATTTTGGGGAAGTCCAGAATTCATGCCTCAGAGCTTACTAACCTATTAAAAAGCATTTCAGTCACTGTGTCTTCTAAGTACTGTAAATCAATGTATTTCAGTAGTTCAGACTTTTCTGCCTATTTGTAAAGCACTTCTCAATTTCAGAAAGAATCACTCAATAAGTCAGCCAAATTATACCAATCAGAGTGACTTCTTGCAAAATACCCGATTCCCCAGCAGGAAGTGAAAACTTTAACAGGCCAGTCTTACTGAAAGTGTCATTCCATGTCTCATAATTGAATCCATGATGATACAATACACATGCAATAAAGTTTAAAATACTGGTGCAGATGTTGTATTCTGTCTCCTTAACACTGCCATTTTCCCAGTGAGGCACAACCTTCTCTGACCTCTACAGCAAAAACTGAAAAGTACTTCCCTCCTTTTTCAAGGCTTTCAGAAGTTCTTGCTCTCTCCTTCACTTTTATTTCCTTTCTCACCTTTTACCTTGTTTTCCTCAACTATAAGTTGGTGATAATACTATTTATTCATCTCAGACGAGCATAATGAAAATGTAAGCACTTAATATTGCCAAGCTGGCACTCCTACCTGTTGTTCTTCAGTATATACTGTTGCCTCTCTCTTTCTCTCCCCTTCCCCTTTGTAACCTGCTCTTTTTGGGCCAACCATCCTTGCAATAGAGGCATGGTAGGAATGTTTTTTCCTTTATGCGAACAGAAGTCATCTGAGATTTGGTACCAGGATTTCATACATTTTCTGAGTTTGATCTTACAGAAATCAACACAGTAATGCACTGCTTCATAACTTCTTAATCTGGCTCTGTAAGATTCCTATCATGAAGTTCTGTATGATGTCTATTTGTATTGGGTCTAAGTCTGGATTACTTGAAGCTAGAGAACATCGGCCAAGGACAGAAGACCTCTTATTCAGCATATAAAATATTGAAGTCAATGGTTATTCAATGACAAGTTCAAAATTAGGCATTGAACAGATTCTTCATCTATATCAGTACCACGTGTGAAATATCAGTCAATGATATTGTTATTTACAATATACCTGTGTAGGTACAAGTCATTCATATTTCTTTCAAACTAATCCCATTTTGATTTGTATTCTATGGCTTTATCTGTCTCCTTTACCTCTCATTTGTCATAGCTGGTTATATCCTTTCTTATGACCAGTATGATCAAAGAATTGTAGTTTTAATAATGCCTTGCTTCCTTACAAAGAAAAGGAAATTTGTTTCAACCTATTTTTTTCATAAATAATTTACACCATCTTACATGTCAGCTCTAATGCTAACAGCCGACACTGAATTTGGGGAAAAAAATGAACTTGGCTTGCTCCTGGGTACTAATGTTATTCACACAAGTCTGCATT